AAATGAACAAAATAAAAAAAAAAAAAATATATATATATACTAATTAATTATTATCTAATAATTATTGCTTGAGCAGTGCTAGGTACACTCGCCTCCTGCACTCCCTAGCGAACACATGCCTTTTTATTGGGCCACGTAAGCTTGCACTCTCAAAACCCAAAATAACGTGGCCAATAAAAATGAAAGTGTTGGTTGGAGAGTGCAATTGGGGAGTGTCCCTAGCATTGCTCTGCTTCCTTAGGGGAAATGATAAATAAACTGTGAATTAAATAAAACCTACTGGCGGATCTTCCGGATGATGGATGACACTTTCTTCAGTTTTCTGAAGCACGGGAACCGAAGCATCCCCTGAATCACTTTCCATGCTAGGCTCTATCTGAATTGTAACCGAGCTGGAAGAAGCCATTTGTATCTTTAGGCTGTTTCACCATACATAAAACAAATTAAAAAACTTCTTAGTAAAAAACTATTAAAAAAAAAACTTCGACATGTCTCTCCAGTCTCCACGGTCGTCCTCTGGGCTCTATGATCTGTCAGAGGGTTTCGTCCGCCATTATGCTGTTTTACCTGGGGTACAGGGTCCGTCCCCCGAGTGGGGTTTCTCGGCCTTTCTTATGTTTGTTCCGGAGTTGGTGGCACTTTTTGCTCAGCTTTGAGTGGTTTTGATGGGGAGTGGTTTGGTAGTAACAGCAGGTTAATGGATCGGCGCGGCTAGTGTAAAAGATTGAAGTCTGGGAGAACAATTAGCAGTTAAGTTATATCAATACCCTGTTGGTCTGAGTGGAACGAGTTTCGATTCCCTTTAAATAAGATCTCGACTTCGACTCTTGTGAATGAAAAAACAAGTTCTAAAAGAGCTTTCCTTAATAAGGTCCGACGTAACTCGATTTCAAATTAGTACAAAAAGTGATAAGTGATTATCAGATACTAAAAAATTAATAAAAAAAAAATACCAGTTAAGTTTGTAAATTTAACATTTTGTTGAAAGAGAACTTAAAAATTAAATTTTTTTATGGAATTTAAATTTTAATTTTTAAAGTAATTTTAAATAAGTTATAAGAATATCATGAAACGTATAACTTTTTCAAAATTAAAAATTACTTTAAAAGGTTAAAATTTAAAATTTTTTCTAATAAATATTTTAATTTGTAAGAGAAACCTTTATTTTTTAATATAAGTGATTTTTAGTGGTGTTTGTTTTGCTTTAGGGTAAAGCCAACCATAGTCCCCCTACTTTTAATTTTTATTCATTATCTTCCCTATACTTACAAATAGTTTAAAATCCTCACTCTACTCTTTCAAACCAAAATGTTGTCCTCCTTTTACTTTATCTTTCCATTACATTTAGCTCTCTCCCCTGACACCACCTTAACACCGTTTATAACTCCCATTAACGGAGGCATTTTCAACAGTTAAGTGCAATAGTTTATTATTATTATTTTTTCTAGAATTTGTTTGTGGGCCCACAAAAATCAATGACAGCAACCCACAAAACTCCTTTTCTTTCCTTTACTGTTCATTTTCTGGTGCTAGCCACCACCCCGATGCCTATCGGCCTTTGGATGTGCGTCCACCGGCTGTACTTTTAGAAAACAATATTGTTGTTTAGGCAGCAGAAATTGAGCCACTTGCTTTGGACAATTAGAAACTGGCAGCTAGTCGTGTTGCCTTGAGGCAGGATATTGCTGATGCGAGGCAGGAAGCTTAGAATGTAAAGGCACACATTAAAAGCTTCCAGACTGAGAGTGATATCCAGGTCAGGGTTCTCCTAAATAAGATTGCAAAAATGGAACTGAATAATAGGCCGGGTGAGAATGTGAAAAAGTACCTGCAACAGGCACTTCTTGAGAGACAGAGCTTAGTCAAAGGCAGACAAGAATTGAATTCCCAAATTCTATAGGCATCTCAGGAATTGCAGAAAACTTGTGTTGATCTTAATAAAATACCAGAGTTACAGGTTGAACTTGACAATTGAGGATAGAGCACCAGAGATTACGGTATAAGCCAAGTAACTCGTAGTTATGTTTCCTTCAAGCTGTTTCGTCTAGGAACTTTAACTAGGATTTTAGTCGAAATTGAAATGTCTTGTTGTACCTCATCTAAAATTGAAGATTTTTGTGTTTCCTTTATCATTATAATGTGCTTTTAGTCCAAGGATTATTAAGAATTTGTCACTGATCTATTGTTCTGGGAGTAGATTATAATTTGCTTTTATCACAAGGTCCATGGTGGGCGTGGCCAAGACGAGCGCGATGCTGTTACAGCACCAGAATGACGGCAGCAACAAGCCAGCGTGTCGGAGGTTTGCAGTGGCGCATCTAAGGAAGCCAATCTCCTAGGCAATTGTTTGTGGCCTCATGCTATTCTCATCTTTTGCTTGGGCTTGATTTCGTTCTTCATTAGCCATGTGGCGTCTGATCTCAAGGGGTCCTCTTAGCGGTTGGCGAAACAAAGCTTCTTCCTCAAATTGGTAACAATTTCACCACAAGGAATTGAATTTTTTTTTTTTCCACATTTCAGTGTTTAAAATTCTTGCTTTTCTTGGTGTTGCTGTGTTTAACTACTATTTTTTGATGTTTCATTTGTTCAAATGCTATAGGAGGGGATTAGTGGCTTACCCATTGATATTTGGAAATCTGAAGATTCGATGTACTTCTACAAATGTAGCCAAAGGGGCCATAAGTTTGCTCATAAGCCGCCTTAGTCTTACATTGCATTGCATACTATGCCAATTTCTTTTGCTTTAATTTATTGATACTATTTTTATGTATCTTGAACTGACTGTCTAGAATTGGAGCTATTGCCATTGAATTCTTCTAGCTTGGAGAGCATGAAAGAAACATCAAATAAGATCATTTTATGTATATAACCCAAGTTAAGGATAAATTTGTCTGAAACCATGGATGGGTTGGTTTGATTTAGGGATTTAGGGATTTAGGGACTTTCATATGGTAAAGGGAATAATAAATGAGTTTTGTGGGTTGTTGATATGAATACGGGTGGCAATGGGGTCCCTTGGGGACAAAGAGTGTCCCTCTGTTCCGTCCCATGAATGGCAGAAGCAGAGATTTTTTACGGGAGCATATTTTGCCCCCATTCCCATTCCTCACAGAGGATGGGGATCCCACCTCACATATGAGAATGGATCCCACGCTATTTTATATTAAAATATGAATTTTATTCTTTAAATATAATCAATTAATATTTAAATATAATGAATAAAATTTTAAAAATTCAAATACAATTAATTAAAATTTTTAAACATAAAATTAAATACAAATTATTTAAATATAATAAA